TTCTTTCAGTCTATGTGATGAGAACTTGCTCTCTGACTGATGATCACTTTACACTCTCTGCTCTGCACTTTGCATTCATAAGGCTGTTCACTCTGTTTTATCAAGTTCAGGAAAAATGCTCTCAGGTCAGATCCAATTAAAGAGAAACATGATGCCAGTCTGATTCATAAAGCAACAAAAAGCTACAAATCGTCCAGTTTGTACGCTGTAAGAGAAATATTTGTTTTCAGTAGTGTGAAGAGTGTGAAGAAGAATAGTTTTTGCTCTGCAGCTGAATTTGCTGTGATAAAAATTCTCTTGCTGTTGTTGCTGTTGCTTTGATAAAGCTTAATGGGTCTTTGAAAGTTATTATAGTTTTTGTAAAGGTTGATGTGCTTGTTCATAATTACAGTTCATGATAGAATTAATCGTTTTTCAATTAGAGTCCATCTTTGCATTTTTGTAACCATGGAAACAAAGAGCAGGCTCAGGCTCATTGGTAGGTCTGACCATCACAGGGCTGCCTTTGCTTTTCAGTTGATGTCCTCTGAACACATGAAAAACACAGTTCAACAGTGGCTCTGACTGGACTTTGTAGCTGTGATAAAGTTTTTTTTGAGGGAAGGTGGTGATCGAAAAAGTCTCCATGGTTATGTTTAGCTTGGTGTTTGATTTGGTTGGAGAAACATTTGACCAATCAGAGCTGAGTGGGCGTTGCGTCCTCAACCTCCTATACAGCTAGCTAGCTACCAGCTCACAGTAGCAACAGACAAGGATGTAAGTCAATATTCAACTCTGAAACACACAGTGTGTATTTCTGCTGTTAGGGGTCTCAATTAAAACACAGACAGATTTTGGTGACATCATGCGGTAATGTGGGATCATGTGAGTTGTTGTGTTCCCCACCATTGCAGTCAGCTTCTCCTGGTTTGGATTCCTTCAGTGTCTGAATTATCCACAGAGGTGTCCTCTCCACAACAAACAGGCGTGGAATGGAATGAAGTGGCTATTCGTTCTGATTATCTAATGATTTGCATGTGTTCACACAAGATGGTGACTCACAGTAGCATCAAGTCCAATATATCTTACATTTCAGAAAAATACAAGGTTCACAGTCATAATTACTACTGGGATGTTGATTTTCACTATATTTACAATGGTCAGACCATCTGTAAAGAAACTGGCTGTCAATCTAATTTCTATTGTTACCTAAATAACAGTTTTCACTGGGGGACACAGAAAAGGGCATCATGGGAATTATGCCATTCTGTGAAGTTGTTGTTGCATGTACTTGCATTGCATGAGTACTGCATGACATCCCATGGGGCAAAAACTTTTATTTATACACCAGCCTCATGAGGACTCACCACACTTGAGGGGATAATGAGCAGGTTGCCACAATGTAAACCAATCATGGTAATAGAGCATAGGGTTGACAATGGCCTTAAAACATCCTGGGTAATGTAACCAGGAATTATTATTATTATTAATAATAATAATAATAATGATAATAATAATAATAATAATCATCATCATCATCATCATCAATAGTGTCCCCACAAGTGACTAAAACAAGAGGATGTGTGTGTGTGTGTGTGTGTGTGTGTGTGTGTGTGTGTGTGTGTGAGCAGCTGCTGCAGGCAGTATTGTGATCCACACATAAACAGGCAGCAGCAACTTATATAAGACACACAATCCAAATTCACATCAAGGTTCCATCGCCTCTGATCTGTGTGATCACACAGGAACCTGCATCCAGCTGCAGCTTGTCCCACGGTTCAAGAGTCAAACTGAAGCTTAACTAATGTTATTAAACACAAAGAGGAAGTTTCCCTTTGTGTCAGAGGTAAAGTTTTCTGGCTCTTTATGTGCTGAGCTAACACAGAAAGCTGAAACTGATTCAAACCAGCATGAAAACAAAACACCAAAAACACAAACTGCAAGGAAAATCACACTCCAAACTGCATTTACTTTTCTCTCTCCTGGGCAGACGAAAAGTCTGAATGAGGATTCCTATGTTGACAGGAATTTAGAACTCTTTGGATTTGGAAACTTGTTCAAAATGGCATTTTAAATTTTAAAATATAAGAGACAGGAATGAAAAAATAAACAGAACTTGTCTGTCAAACTTTTTTTTTTTTTTACAAGAAAACTACAGTGTTTATTCTCCAAAATATAATTTAAAATGTGTTAAAAGATACAAAACATGCTTATGAAATATCCCTTTTCTAGAAATTAAAGGAACAAAATAACTATGTAGCAGAAAGTAAATGACCTTCTTTTAGGTCCACTGTTTGATACAAAGTGTACCACACCTTAGAGGTGCCAGCTCTGAACCACAGCGTTCCTGGTTTGAGTCCAGCTGGGAAAACAAACACTGTGCTCAGCGTTCTGTCATGAGGGACAGAAAGGCTGCTTCATGTTTTTATGATGTTTATAAGAACAGCACGGTTAGTTGTCTGTAAGTAAACAATTTAGCATTGAATTGGTTGAAATCATATTTACAAGATAAGGACTTCTTTGTGTTGGTTGGCAATTATGAATCAGAGCGAGTTCCTCGAGGGTTTGTTTTCAGGCCTCTTCTATTCAACATCTACATGCTCAGATTATGGAATATTATATAATCTCTTACCATGGTTATGCAGAGGAGACACAACTCTACATAACAATGTAACCAGGTGACTACAGTCCTTTACAAGTGCATTGAACAAATCAAAGAGTGGATGTTCCAGAACACAAGACTGAAATGACTGTTTCTGGCCTCAAAGAAGAAAGATTAAAAGTCAGTGCTCACCTTGTCTCCATGACACTAAAATCTACAAATCTTGTGGACTTGGACCTAAATTTCAACAGTCACATAAAGACAATTACAAAATCAGCCTTCAGACTGAATAACTAGAATATTGTGATGATGTCTTCACAGGTCTTGGTAAAAAAAATCAACTAGACACCAAAACCTGCAGCTTGTCCAGAGTCCTCACTAATACAGAGACAGTGGAGCACATCACACCTTAAATCACTGCTCTGGCTTTCTGTGTGGCAAAGGAAAAAAATAAAAATCATATTATTCGTATATAAAGCACTAAATGGTGTGGATCTACTTATATGCTATGAAGCATCCAGAGCCCTCAGGGGATCTGGGACAGGTTCACTCAGTGTTCCCAGAATCACAACCGAGCCAGGTGAAGAAGCTTTTAGTTCCTCTGCTCCTCACCCGTGGAACAAGCTTCCTGAACACCTGAGATCTGCTGAAACTATCAGCTCATTTACATCAGGACTGATTGTTTGCCGCAGCGTTCCAATAAATTACATATATAACCTCTTTAATCTTTAAGTGTTTATTAGCTTGTTTTTGCTTTTGTTTGTTTTTATTGTCTTTTAAATGCAATTTTAACATCTTCATGTTGTATTTTTAATGTTTTTGATTAATCTATGCCTCAGTAAAGCACCTTCAATTGCCTTGTTTTTATTGTCTTTTAAATGCAATTTTAATGTTGCAGTAATGTCCATTTTTTTAAATGTATTTCTATGCTTTTGTGAAGCACTTTGAATTGCCTCCTATCTGAATGGTGCTACATAAATAAAACTTGCCTTCATAGACGTAGGGATAAAAAAATTTATGTTCAAAGTACCAACCAACCAACTGAGCCTCCTGTGATGCTTACTAATTTGCTACCTGTTTGTTGCTTGTTTAATCCATACAGTACATCTCTGGGGATTAATAATGTTATCTAATCTAATCAAAATATGTGCACTGTAAATACTTCTGGACACCTGCCAGACAAAGAAATACTGTGAAGTTGACAGGTAAGCAGCACAGAAGGATGGATAAAGATTTTTTATTCTATTGTTTATGTTCCCTTTGACGAAGCAGTGATCCCTCCGAAAAATGGGCCTCATACGTAATCCCCTCTCAAACACTGTGATCAGCGGACACTTTGGTTTCCCTGAAGGTCTAAACACTGTGTGAAGAGGCTATTCCGTCATGAAAATCTTCTCATTTAATTGTTTAAACCTGTTGAAAGTCAACTGTAAATCACAACAACATCAATTCAGAGAAGCAAAAACCTCTCTTTATTGAATTCCTGACATTCCTGCAGATCCCACAAGCCCCCACAGCCATGGAGAAAACGACGTAGCCATGCATTAGCTTCAGATAATAAATTAACGAGTGTTTTCAGTGTGAGAGCAGAGTGAGGCTGGCAGTCAGCAGGGTCGTGTGTTTTCATGGATTCAGGCTGTTTGTTGTTGAAGTGAATCTGATCAGACAGGAAACGGCGTGTGTCCTAAACACAGCAGGCTGGACACTGCCCGTCTACACTGTCCCCGTCTCTCTGTCTCTCTGCCTGACTTTCATCTGTCCTCCTGCTGTTGAGAGTCTAACACTTTCTCTTTCACACATCCACACCTGCTGAGTCTCACTTCTCTTCCTATTCCATTTTTGCCTTTATTATTCTCTTCTTCTTGTCGACCTGAAAAACCTTCACTGTCAGCTTACCTCCTCTTCTGCGTCTCCCCTGCTGCTACTGTGTCTTTTGTTTCTGACACAGGAACTATTTGTAATACTAACAGCAGTTTTAGTTTTAGGTGATGTAGATGTACAAGAAGCTGCTTTAGCAATGTTTGTAGCAGTAGCACTTGTAGTAATCATAAGTGGTATTTACTGTATTTGATGCTTGTGATAATAGTAATACCAAATAAAGCAGTAGCAGAAGTAACATTAGCAGTAGTACTGCTACAGTATGTAGGGTTTTCATTGTAGTTTAACTTTGTTTATAGTTCCTGTTGGTCAAGTGGTTGAATGAGGTAATAACACAGTTCATTTCAACCGAGTTCATTTCAACACTTGTGTCACTTGTGTTTCAACAATGTGTCTATATAGGCCAACACCACACTTCACTTCACTACAGCCACAATACAATTTAGATCACCTCAGTTCAGCACAGTTTAGTGCCTTTTTTGTACATTGTATGTATGTATATATATCATCATTAACCCGTCGCGCTCTTGTCTCCCTCCAGGTCCGCTGAAGGTGGTTGTCCCTACAGAGTCTGTCTCCTCATACCTGGGCGACACAGCCTTGCTGCGCTGTGAGGTGTCTGGTGACCCAACGCCCATCATCCGCTGGCAGAAGAACCGAGAGGACCTGCCAATGATCTTTGACCCTGACTCCCGCCTGGTGGTGCTGCCATCCGGCTCGCTACAGGTCAGCCGTGTCCAGCCTCCAGACTCAGCCACATACCGCTGTCTGGCCGACAACCCCGGCAGCACCAGGACGGGGACGGACGCCGAGCTCCGAGTGCTCCCAGGTGAAAGAGATGAAAAGTGATGTAAACACATGGCTTCTCGGTTGATTGATCTATTGGGCACCACACAAGTTCATTAGAAATCCACGTTTTCAATCAATTTATTTATTTATCAATAAGTCTACCAGAGCTACTGAGCCTCAAATAGTTTCATTCATCTATGAGATAAAACTGAGATTTTCATGATGGTTGATTTTTCTGCCTGATGAACTTGGAATTTCTAGTGTGGAATATGAAACATATTTAAATATTATTTGTTTGATCCACCTTTAAACGCTGACTGATTTTATTTCCAGTCATGTTGCAGTGAAGTACTGCACCAGCAGTTTACTTAATAGAGAGTTATGTTTTTCCTGCAGTCATCATTTTGTCAGGTAGTAATTTCTGTTCATTTCCTCACAGACACTGCACATCTGATTTTAAAATAAAATGAGATGTAATGATATATAGAGTGTAAAATGTGATTTAATAATATGCCTGTGGGCCGAGAGGAAGCACCTTCTCCTCAGTCTGCAGGGAGTCTGTCAGCAGCTGATGTTCCATACGCTCCACACCATCCAATTACACGAGTCCATACAGCAGCCACTTAATCACTCAGATTACAGCTCAGGTTAGCTCGCTCTCTTCTGGCTAAACACCACTTTGATTCAGGCTCACCAAGTGTTTCTGTGCTTGCTTGCTCAGCGGGGTGTCCCCGGAGCCCAGGAGTTGACCTTCAGCAGGATAATCATGTACTTTATATTTCAACCCCCCACAACATGCACACACACACACACACACACAACACACACACACACTGAAAATGCTTTAACTCGCAGCAGTTAATCTAAATCTGACCAAGCAGCCCAAAGGCAAAATTTAGGAAAAAAGCTCAAATCTCAGTTATTGTTCAATCTCAAAACTCACCAATACTGTGTAGTACACATAATGAACCAGCACATTTATGATAATAATGATGAAAATAATAATATGTAACAAAAAGTACATGTATGACTCCATGAAAAAAAGGAAAAAACAGAATTAAAGGGCCAGGATATTTTCCAAACTTTTAATGGATCAGATGGATTAAGCTTTAATGATTCTGACTCCATGAAGATTTTATTAACTTTAACTTTATAAAGATTTTATCAGATGGAGCTTTCACTGGGACTCAGAGGTCGAAGGTCAGAGACTGTCAGATGGAACCATCTGATTCCCATGTGTCACCTCCAGATAGCCCGTGTCTGTGTGACCTACTTTCTTCTCTGTTCCAGTCTGGGTAAACCAATCAGATTAACCACTAAAAAGAGATTAGATGTAAAGCTCTAGTGTACTTGTATTTCTTTACAACTTAGACAACCATCAATGTTCAGATAGAAATAGGTGTGTTCAGAGACTTCAGAGGTTTAGTGAAGAGTAGTGGAGCTCTTGAAAGTTTGGATGGACATGACACTCTCCACTAAGTGTTAGAAATACACTGTTGTCCATAAAGTTGGAATAATTTTGTTTTCAGACACAATCCTCTGTTTATTCCTATTTAAATGAGTCAGTAATCACTTTTGACCAGGTGCAATGATTACATTATGTGTCCCAATTACCCAGGTGAAATGAAATAAATCCCATTGTCATTTCATGGAAAGAGGTTAAAAAATATTTTATTCCAACTTTATGAGCAACAGTGTATCTGGTTCTTTGATAAAAGTCAAAGGTACAAACGTAGACACATATTAACTCAACTACAACTTCCAGAGTTTCCTTCAGTAACAAACCTCCATGCACAGAGCTCAAAGAAACAGTTCAACACATGGGGCAGCACCTTAATTCACTTTCTTGCCTGGAGAAGATTGATAGGCTACTACTCTCACGTCTGTAAAATATGAAGCAAGCTGCAGCAGCTAGTATGGTTAGCTTAGCATGAAGACTGAATCAGGGGGAATCAGGTAGGCTGGCTCTTTTCAAAGGTAGCCTATCAAAATGCACTTACAGACACATCGAAGGCCAGGAACACACTGGATGCGTTGCATGTGTGTCGCAGCTGAGGAACGTTGCGGTTGCAAAACATCTTGGTTTTCATTTGGGTGCTCATGTTAACAGGTTAGAGTGGACACATTGTCTGTGTGACACGCCTCACGGCTGCGTGGCATGATCTAGAGATTCAGCGTCTTGCACATTTTTCACACTTGACATGTCTCCTAGCAGAGACGGACAGAGAAAAGACCTGTTGATATTATAGTTACGTCATAGCAGCAACATCACATAAAACTGACTCCTTCCACTGTAGTTTCTATGTCTAGGTTGAATCTGAATATGTCACAGACACAAACAAATATAAATATATTTTTAACCAATTTTAGCAGCTGCATGTGGAGACAGTGATGTTTTAGTGATGTTTTCTGTCAAAAATGAATCTGAAATTAATTTATAATGAAAAGAAATCCAATCCAGACAGAGCTGCAGCAGCAGAGACACAGCCGGTGTGAACACAAATGCGCGAGAGCCACAGCAGTTGAGTGACGTCAGCTGCCACACACAGACAACGCAGGTAGTGTGTTACTGGCGTAAATCTCACTAATGAACACTTTATATCTGCAGCTGAGCAGAGAATCACTGTCCTTGAAAATGCAAAGATATCATTTTATACTAAAAACACAGTAACTGTGGGGGATATGTTGAACTCAGACTGCTGAGGCCTCATATTAACTTCAGTTGAACTTAAGAATGCATTCTGACACTTATTTCTAGTTTTAAAACAAACTGCCATAGGGTAGTTTCACAGGTCACAGGTGCACTGAGAAATAAAAGCAGATAACAAGCTCACACACAAATAGAGCAGAAAAATAACATATCAGTGTTTCTGAAAGAAGCAAAAAGAATCCACCAATAGTCTGTTTGACTGTGCAGTTGACTAAATTAGTTATCCAGTAATTTGAAAGGGACAGTTCACCTTTACTTCAGCAGTTCAGAGGTGTGACTGGATTCACTTTTCCATTAATGAGGATATGTTGTTAATTTATGTATTAGGTAAATTAAAAATATGTTCATACTGAATGTATCAGTACAATATCAGAAAACATGTTTGTTTACCACCAAAATATCTGATCCTGCAGGACAATATCCACTTGTAGTGACAACAGTATTATTGAAGTTCCTCACCATGTTTTAAACCCTGTAAAAATTCTCTGCTGTGATTCATATGTAGTTTAACATGGGTTTCCAACATAAAAATTGGGTCTGAAGCTCATCTCCTCTTACTTCCTGATTGAGACATGTGGATCAGGCCTTGAGCCCCACCCACCACCTGCTTGCTCCAGGTGGACAGGTGAAAGAGCAGAGAGTATCAGGATGGTTAGAGGAGGAAACATCAGAGAGACTCAGCCACATGTTTGAGCCTCAGTCAGATCCAGACTCAGATGAGGAGTCTGTTGAGACCAGAACCAGAGACTAGCAGACGTATCAGAACGGTTAGCATAGTTAGCATCTTTTATTTGTTTATGTTATGTATGTCTTGTATGGCAGTGGCAGTAGCTGACACAGTGTTAGTGGTTGTGCTAATGCAAACTCTCTCTCTCTGTACTGACAAGGTTTCAGGGATTGGGAAAGGAGCAGTGCATATCAAACATCAGAGTCATTAAGATTGAACCAAACCCACCATCTTTCACTAACTTTAACCATAGAGACAGCCATGTGCCTTGTGCCCCCACCATTCACCTCCACCACCTCCTGGCAACTCTCCTGCTGTTATAAATGTGCAGTTTCATTTATTTAAAGAAAGTGTTGCCTCTAAACATAATCTGGCCATCGATTACATTGCTTACAAAATATCATTTCTAGGAAACAGGATTGTAAAAAAAATTTGATATTGTGGACATCATTGTTATGCAAGCAATGTCTGTGTGTCATCTGATCTGCTGACAGACACATTAAGTGGTGTGTCTATGAAAACATTAAAGATCGCTCATTGTTGTTCAGTGATAAACCCCCCACCCCTTCCCACCCCCGCGCATTTCTCTCTAACCAATAAAAAAAGAGAAACAGATTGTGCTGTGTGGACATTTCCTCAGCTTCTTCTTCTTTTATCTCCTTGTGTTCACCACTCAGGTTTCTGCTGCTGCTGCTGCTGCTGCTGATTATCTTTTCGGTTTCTGTTTCCTGTGTATTTGGTTCTTGAATCCTGAAGTTTTAAAGCTTCACATCATATTTAGAGTGTGTGTGTGTGTGTGAGTGTGTGTGTGTGTGTGTATGTGTCAGTGCCATGGGATGTGTTGATGTAACTTCCTATCTCTTGAAGGAAATTGTCTCATCCCTCCTTTTGAACTTTCCAGCCCTCAGGCCAACCTGGGGGGGAGCACAACTTGACCCACTGCAGGAGTGTGTGTGTGTCCACAGGCCTCATTTTTTGTTAGATGAGATCTGATAGAAAATAGGTGTCTGAAAAGATGAAAGCCTCGACCTTTGTCAGCTTATGGCATTGTTACAGAGCAATAAAAAGCACGGGGTGAGGTTTTAGATTTTTAATATATTTTGTTCATTAATTTTTTATACACTCATTTTTTGTTTTTATTCCTCTGTGCAGACGACAGTCAGAACCAGAGCCGTATTGTTTTCAGGTTGTCTCTCTGTCTCATTCTTGTGGACACAATATTTCAGTAACACCTTGAAGGAACTTTGGCACAAACATTCACCTGGACTTAAGGATGAACTGATTAGATTTTTGGGGTCAAAGGTCAAGGTCATAGCGACCTCACAAAACACTTTTTAGCCATTACTCAAGACTTCACACAACAATTATTACGACCAATACCTTCAAATGAATGACATTCCCATCAGCCTGAACTGTACTCTGCGCTGCTTTTTGTATTTATGAAAACACATGATGGTTAAACTGTATAGAGATGTCAAGCAGTACCAAACATATTATACACAGCTCTGAAAAACTAGACTGTATTTCTTATATCTGTCTCATTTTTCACACCTTCACTAACTCAACTCTATGTATGAAACTGTAAAATTTCACAAGGTCCATATGGTCTAAAGGTAGATGTCCATGTGTTGTTTGATTATAGATCAGGTCTAGGTTCTATATTAATGCTGTGAAAGTATCAAAGCCTCAGCCCACAGAGAAATGCACACAGCCTGTATTCAGAAACTGAGCCTTAAAACCAGCCGTCAGGACTTCTGGAACTTTGTGATGTCACAGCAAAGCAGTCACCGCTCTCAGCCACACCCAAAGCCCTGCACACCTGTACCCACCATCTACGTTGCAGAATTTGGTTTCTCTGAGTGTTTACCTAAAATCTGCTACATTTTTATTGGATCATTGATTGGATTGATTCACTAACATGTTGTAGAGCTCCAGAGAGAAACCTGAGAGAGGAGATGTAGACTCTCAATGTTGTTAAAGTCTTGGTTGATCTGCTTCATACAGATGTAATGGTAAAATGGTTGTTACTGCATTTGTTCTCGCCTCCTGTGCACATTTCTCACAGTAACCTGATTTCTTGTGTTGATGTCAATGTCTGAGCTCTCCATCTATGTCCTCAGACCCAGCTGTCATTTCAGCACCAAGGACAGCGCTTACATCCACTCCTCCTCAACAGGCAGGCTTATGACAGGAATACACCAAAATTTTATGTTTTAATGGACCAACAGGCTTCACTAGCGTACATGCTAATTAAACAAGAGAGACATCAGTAGTTGTTTTCATTTATTGATTCATTAATTGCACTCCCTGCCCTCTGATGTGTCACCATTCACAACATAAAGAGAGAAGGGTATATGTGTGTATTTGATTGCTGCCTGTTGGGGTCACACTTCATTAGGGAGACAATAAAAGAGTGAAGACTGAAGCCTGACACATTTGCATCTCTGAAAATGATCATGGACACGTTTGGAAATGGAGCTGTATCTGTGCTACAGCACACAATGATATTCTAGGCAATAGTGTAAGCAGTTTAAAAGTAGGCTATTTCATGTGTCAACATGACAAAAGCTATCCGTAAAGAACTGGTTTTGCCAGTTTGGTGTTGAAGAACCTGAGTGGCCTGAACAGAGCCCTGAACTCAACCCCATTCGACACCTTTGGCCTGAACTGGAACACCAGCTGTGAGTTTGGCCTTATTGCCCCACATCAGTGTTATACCTCACTAATGCTCCTGTGGCTAATTGGAAGCAAATCTCTTCAGCCAGGTTGCAAAGTATAAAAGGCAAATCTGAAAAGTGGAGGCTGTTATAGCAGTAGATTCAGGCCTCTGCAACTAACACGTAAGGCCAGAATTATCAGGTGTCCATATACTTTGGACCATGAAGTGTATCTTAGAATATGGACCATGTTTCAGGTTTTCACTCTCTCTCTCTCGCTCTCTCTCTCTCTCAGAACCTGGGGTGAGCAGGAACCTCCAGTTCCTCCAGCGTCCATCCAGAGTGATGTCTCTGCTGGGAACCGATGCTGTGCTGGAATGTGCTGCTTCAGGATACCCAACTCCAATCATCCAGTGGAGGAGGGGAGAAGAACTGATCCAGAGCTGGTGAGTCCAATTTACTACCTCCAGTCAAACAGTATGGGCTTATATGACATGGTCACCCTTGTGGTAACCAACATTAGAGTTACACATGTATGGTCTGGACATTTTAGTCTGGTGATATTCCGAGCTGCACTGTTTACATCAATACCAAAAACATTTTCCTTCATCACCATCAATACACACAGTGTAGTTCATTTTGACTCACTTTCACACACACAACATCCTGCTGCCCCAAATACTCACTGGCATACCAAATGTTGATTATTCTGCCACTAAAACAAATAAAAACTATTTTCTCCTGTTTGACCACCACAGTGCCCAGGAAGCTATGTGTGCTTAGTTTTTAAAGATTTCTATCTTCAGTAGGAGCCAGTGACATAGGGAGGGTCAGTAGGGAAGGTGAAGATGGACTAACACCATGTTGCTTTTGGTCTTTTTCTGGGATCTGATGATAATGGGCAAATATAAAATTAAACAAATTATCCTTTCACTATCAAATGCATTTTGTGAGTTATCAACTGGTTAAGCAAACATGCACAAAGAAAGGATACAAACGACCTCACTCTTCCTGTCACTGTAGGAATAAGAAGTACTCTCTGTTGGCGGGCAGTAATCTGATCATCAGGAGTGTCACTGATGACGACTCTGGCAGCTACAGCTGTACAGCCACCAACAAGAACCACAACATCACTGCACACACAGGGCTGAGTGTGCTGGGTGAGTTTTCTGATGCCATTTTTGTCTATATTTTGGTTGAGTAGAAAAAAGACACAAAGACTTGAACTAATGATGTGGCAATAACATGATTAATGTCATAAAACTCTAGGTAGCCTCAACATTAACCCTGAAACACATTTGTAACTCCGTCATGGACACACACCAACACACACACACACATACACACACACCTTCAGTGCGCAGTGTTGCGTGTGAAAATAAAAGAATGAAGCCATGTCACTTCGCAAAGCTCCCAAGGGAAGAAATTAAAAACAATCCTGAATGGAAACTGTTAATAGCCTCAGAACAATAAAAATAAATAAAGTTGAATAAAAAATGGTGCACATCCCTGCGCTGACAGAAAGTCTCCTGTCTGCAGACACTCTCAGGGACAGAGAATCACATCCAGAATCAAATGCAGTCATGAAATATAAAAGCTGTCTGTTTGCTTCAGGAGGTTTTCATAAATAAAATATGTTTGTATTCATTGTCTGACTGCTCCTCAGCTGCTGGTGGATTCACATTAAGGCTGCTCATGCATTCAGGTGAATCCAGACACCTGAACAGCATCTGATTGTAGGGATGGTGAGAAGCCATACAAACACCATCAAATATACATTTTTGCTGTAATCTTATTGGATTTACATAATAAATAATATATTTTACAATTAAAAGATTATTTTCAGATAAGTATTTACATCATACGTTCATAAGTACATCATGTTATTATTCTACTGTTGATTTATGCAGATTTATGCAGGTGTGATACTTGTCTCTACTAACTCCGAGGAACACTCAAATGTACCGACCAGAGCTAAAACAGATCTTCATTAGAGTTAGATCCAGTCTATAAAGAGTCAGGATCACCTTGGGATCTCAAGTCCCCCAGGAAGAGCACTGGGATTTGAAGGGACTTTGACATGGTGGCCAGAGTAAGAGGTGCAGCTCACAGAGCATACACCATCATTAAAAACCAAACAGCTGTAAGACACTGAGAACATTATTCTGACATGACTCCACATTTAATTCCAGAGTCTTGAGGAGCATAAACAAATTAGCTGTTTACAAATTATTCTTGTACCGTTGGTGTTTGGGGGTAGTCAGCAGGAAGTCGCTTCTCTTCGGAGTCCCCAGTGTTTTAAAGGACTGGCCTCATTCAAATAAATGAGGGAGCTCACTTAGGGCTAAAGTCTGTCTGAACATGGCCTCATTCTCATTTCTTTATGGGCCAAAATATAAGAAAACTTTTCTTAGCCAACAATTGGCCACATCAACTGATTGTCTGATTGAGCCCATGTGTGAATAGAGCAGGTTGTTGTTCAGAGACTTCAAAGTGGGCGTGTGAATCAGGATTCTATCATGAGACTGCCACAAAACCTGGGGAATACAAACATCTGAGGGAGAAGAATAGGGGTCATTTACACAAAGGTGAAAATGCCTCACTGGAGAGATGATGAGATTCAGGAACTTCAAATCATCAAACCATCCTTGATGAGCTGTAAACAAAACACTGCGATTTCCAGAACGTGCTTTTTGCATAATGTCCTGTCTGCTGCACACTCTAGCCAGGCACCGTCCCTTGCCTAAACCTTTTTCCACTAGGTGAGAACGTGTCTGACACAGACTATCTCCTGTTGTGTGCTACATGTGTGAGCAGATGAAGTTCAGAGTTCAGAAAACCACCAATTGATGGAGACAAAATTATGGATTTAAAGAGATTGTTGAGAAAAATGATCAGAGGAAACATCCGTTTGATCTTTTCAGTTCATGAATATACTATTTACAATATACTGTTTCATGCACAGTATTCATGTGCTAAGGGAAGGACTGTAAAACTGTTATGTGCACACCAGGTAAAGAAAACATCGTTTGGGCTTTGTTGGACAGGATTTTGAATCCTTCTACAGTGGGATCATGAATTGTACCTTTAATGAAACGGAGACAGTTTTCTCTGCGAGCTGAGAGTTTACATCAAACAGAAGCAGCTGTTGTTTGTTTGACTCTCAGGAGAAAATCTGCAAATTAACCTTCGGGTGTTTTCAGTCTCCTTCCAGCTGGGCCTCTCTGCTTGTCTGCGTCCTTTCATGTCTTTGTCTCAGCGTCCCCTCTGAGTCTGTCTCTGTGTTCACATCACATTCATATTCTGTTTACACTCTGCTCTGAACAGTTGCACACTGCCTGCACACATCACATGATGTTAACAATAAACAGAATGTCACATCTGGGATCTGATCATAAAGTCTTTTATTCTGTAAATATTACCATGGTTCCCCCCAAAACATGTTATTGTTCTTTTAGAGCACCTTAAAGTCTGTGGATGTATCTGAAAAGTAGTGTATCCTAACTCTCTGAGGGGTTGTACAAAAGATGGGCGGGGAGGGGGCCTGAGATTCTATTTCAAGAAAGAAAAGCTCTCTCCAGTGTTATTTATATTCTTTATTTATTTTTCTCCAGTGTCCATATTCTCTTTGAACCCTCCCCTTTGACTGAAGATCTTCATTTAAATAAAGTCACTATCTGTTATACTTAGGTAACACAGTGGTGAGTGAGGGGTGGGTATCATTTCAGTTTTATCGATTCTGATTCCAATTCTGCTTATCTAATCCAGTTCTTATCGAATCTCGGTCCCGATTCCAATATTTTGTGTAGAGAAACAAAAAATGAGTATTTCAAGAACCAATACCAGCCTGGCTTTATTTTTTCCACATTTAGGCTATAATCAGTAAATTGTCATAAAAATATAGTATAATATAAAATGAAATATTCCTCTTGATAAACAAAAACAATTACAAACCAAAACTATTTAAATAATGGAAAAATATGTATGTACCTGAACATGAGACGAAATTCACGCCATGTTGAAGTAAATGCTTCATCATATTGGTGGTGCTTCCTCCCTTGCATGAAATATTTTTACTGCAGAAGCTGCATTTTGCTGTGTGCTTGTCTTTTTTGGTGAAGCTAAGCCAAATTTTTGAGGTTGCTGCGCTCAGCCATTGTCCAGGATGTAAAGAACAGATGCCTACGGCGTACCAACTGACGTTAGGTCCGCCTAAAAGGGCCTGGCAGATAGGTAAAGCTTTTACAGACTATAAAATGCTCACTGCACTTCACTCGGGAGTGCAGCTGGTATCAAATCAAATTTATGTATAAAGCACATTTAAAAAACAGCAAACCTCTGACCAAAGTGCTGGAAAACACAAACAACAGAGAAACAAAAACTTAAACAGACAATAAAAACAGCATGACAAAAACAAGTAAGCAGACTGAAATGAGGGAGACAACTGATCTTGGCTTGAACGCTAATCAGTATAAAACTGTTTTAAGCTGGGATTTGAAGGACTCAATGGATGGGGCAGATCTAAAGAATATGGGCTGGATATTCCAGTCTGGGGGCCATGACTGAGAAAGCCCGGTCACCTCTGCGTTTAAGGTTAGTGCAAGGGATGGTGAGGAGGCCCATGTTGGATGTTCTGAGGGGCCTGGCTGTAGTGTAGGGCGTTAAAAGGTCTGTGATGTAGGGGGAGCAGATCCATTGAGTGCTTTAAAAACAAACAATAGAACCTTAAAATCTATCCTATAGCGAATTGGGATCCAATTGTAGAGAGGCCAAGATATGAGTAGTGTGTTCCCTTCCCCTAGAACCAGTCAGAAGCCAAGCCGCAGCGTTCTGGACCAGTTGCAGGAGAGACAATCACAACTGACTGATTCCAGAGTACTGGGAGTTACAGTAGTTGAGCCTTGCAGTGTTGCTACAAGTTGTTTCCCCATTAATAAGTAGAACAGACAAACGCAAAGAATTTCAGGAGGGATACCTTATATCAATTTTCACATAGCCACACAATATGCTTAAAAGAAATGGAGTAAGCAGACTGAAGAAGACACGTACATATAAAAATATTTAAAAAAATAGAAACAGCATCATTTCACTTTGCAACATGTGATACTGAATTTGTATTACAGGTTAACTTTAAGTGACACATTCAACTTTTTTCCTCTGTGTTCTAATGTAGAATAAAGTAAAGGGTGGAGCAGCTGTCTGGGATAATGTTTAACTACTAAGATATAGATCCAGGTGTATTCTACATTAAACCTGACATTTTGACAACAAATTTCAGGAAGGAAGGCTGACATAAAATTTAAATTTGGGTTGAGGAAAAAAAAGTCTGCAGAGCAAATGTTATAAAGGAAAGTTGACACGCCTTGACTCTGGACAGTAAATTGTCCTGTCAATTGGACACGTATCAAGATGACACCAATGCGCTGGCATATGTAAAAGAAACATGAGTTCAGGTATTTCTCTTTTCAGTTCAGATGAACATGAACTGGTATTTATAAACACAGACTGTGTGGTGAGAATGTGTGCACCTCACATGTGTGCACATTTGATTTGAACACACGGTTTTTCAAAGCAATCCAAGTTACAGTGAAGAGAAAATACAAAATAAGCAGCAACACATAATTTAACATAAAATAAAACTAACTTCATGGAGCTCGCAGTCATTTTTATCAGTACAAGTTGCCATTTACACTGCAATAACAATTTTACAAATTCATAAACAGAAGTAATTGTGCTTTGTTTGTTGTTTGTGCTCAATGTTTCCTTCAGCATTGTTTAATATCCTTATTATTTATTGTGAGTCATTCTGTAACTGTTAATATCTACAAATCTGATGAAAAGAATGACTATGCATACTTTTGGTTTTGTGCATACACATAGTTTTAGTCATGAATATACAGTTTTATTCATCTGGTCCCAGCTATTTCTCTAAACTCCTAGTGGTGATGCAAATCTAGTCATCATTTGGCCAGTGGTTACACAAAAGAAAGAAAATATGATAAAAGTAATGGATGGAGGGAAAGAAAGGGGAAAAATTAAGAAAGAAAGGAAATAATTTAAAAGAAATCCAAATTGTAAAGCTCCTGTGAAGCTGATGTGAAGCTTACGTGCTCAGGATGATCCCTCTGAATAATTTCAATATTTATGATAAACACATGGA